CAGAGAAATTCAAAGACGCATTATGTCAGGGAATAGTGCCTATTTTTGACTCCGGAGGACACTCCGGTCGAATAAAATTCGCCGCCGCACGAAGTTGACTATCTACAAGACGCTGATTAGATCGGTGGTTCTCTACGGCCACGAGACCTGGACTATGCTCGTGGAGGACCAACGCGCCCTTGGTGTTTTCGAACGGAATGTGTTGCGTACCATCTACGGTGGAGTGCAGATGCATGACGGAACGTGGAGGAGGCGAATGAACCACGAATTGCACCAGCTGCTGGGAGAACCATCCATCGTCCACATCGCAAAAATTGGGCGATCACGGTGGGCTGGGCACGTCGTAAGAATGCCGCACGACGATCCAATGAAAATGGTTCTAGAAAGCGACCCAACATGAACAAGAAGAAGAGGCATGCAGCGGGCAAGGTGGATCGACCAAGTAGAAGGCAACCTGCGGACTCTTCGCAGACTACAAGGCTGGCGAAGTGTGGCCATGGATCGAGTACACCGTTCGAAAAATGCATGAAAATTTATGCGAGATATAGCGCACATAAAATTAACGCTAGATTTGACATAAATTAACGGGATATTTCGTGTAAATTTAAGCGCAATATCGCATAAAATAGCAACATTGTATGCAAGCTTGAAAACGATTTCGTTGTTTATGCCAAGTATAGCTCAAAATTAAACGGAGGAAGATTTTACGCGATAGTTAAAATTCAGATTTTTTTCTGTATAGAATGGAGACAACTTCTTCGGACAGCAGAGGACAACAAGGCCTTAGCCTGATTGAGAGAGAGAAATGTCCGATGTGAAATCTTTCTAAGAAGGAGCTGGGTGTAGAAAAAGCCAAACTTGAAAACTACTTACGTAATCATTGCATGGTCCTTAATCGAACACGACAAAATGCCGTCATTAGAGTTACTGTTTACTCTATGGTGGTCAAAAATGATTTATCGATTGTCTGTATTGATTGACTAATATTCTTAATCGTAAGGCTAGTGTACCAATTTTAGTACTAGTGTTCTAGTTGTTGGCCCTAGGGCCTTTTTTCCGTGTTTTGTATTTTGATCACTACGACCAGTATTTAGATCTATTGTGATGTATTCCCCGTTTTAATATTGCTTTATCAGCATGTCTTATCGCCCTTAGCTCAGTCGGTAAAGGCGCAGCTACAAAGCAAGACCATGCTGGAGGTGGCTGGGTTCAATTCCCGGTCCGGTCTAGGAATTTTTCGGGTTGGAAAATTTCTCGACTTCCCTGGGCATAGAAGTATGATTGGACTTGCCACACAATTATACCAATGCAAAAATGGTACAGGCATCGAAAGCTCTCAATTAATAACTGTGGAAGTGCATCTAGAACACTAAGTTGAGAGCACGCAATAAGCTAATATGCGATATGCAATAAGCTTGAAATGCGAAGAAGAAGAAGAAGAAGAAGAAGAAGAAGAAGAAGAAGTATCGCCATTTTATGAAGCGACCGACATAGACTGACCGAAAGCATTTTCCCAGTCAGGTATTACATTTCGAATGAATTGCACTACTTGGCTGGGAACTGAATTCCAAATATTAGAGTCTTCTTTTTCTATGCCACATAATCGACACATGTTCTCTTGAAGTTTTCCTATTAGCTTCAAGTGATATTTACATGGACAGTGTCCTGTTATTAAGCCAGTGTACATACTGAGAACTTTCTTTGATAGTTCATGAATATTACTAGTCATTGAAATGCTCGGAATAATGAACCGTTTCGACTGCATTCCACTTAATCTTGAAGAGAATTATTCGACAAACTCATTCTCAATCGTTTGCACAAGTTTGTCGAGGAAAACAATATTCTCCTTCCGGAACAGTTCGGGTTCAGGAAGCGGCTCTCCATCAATCAGCAGCTATTACGGGTGATGAATAACATCCGAAGTAACAAAGCTGTATCCAAGTCCACAGCCATGGCCTTGCTAGACGTTGAAAAGGTGTTTAACAATGTTTGGCATGACGAACTTGTGTACAAGTTTTGTAACTTCAACTTCCCATTACATCTGGTTAAAATCACCCGTAACTACCTCCAGGAAGTTAAGGTATCGTTGAATCCCAAATAACCACGGGTTCTGATAAAAGGCTATTTCTCGAGTAACCAAAAGTTCTGATAAAAGGCTATTTGTGGCTTAAGCAGCTTGGTTGAAGGTGGTCTATAGAATTCTAAGCAGCCTCATATTTGAGTCGTTATAAAAACTTGAAAGTTCCGGTACCATAATTGAAAAGCATTCTAAGCTGCTTCTGGTGGAACTTGAACGGAACTATCAGAAAATAAATTAAAAAAGGTTTAGCATTAGTATAAGTATTGGAGCTGTTTAAAGAATTAAATGTCCTTCTGCGTGAGAGTCCCAGCACGAACCGCTACGTCATCTGAGATATATTAAAGTGAGCTGTTGTCCCGCCTACTGTTGGAGCTGACTGACTTGAATACGAAACACAACACCTTTATGAATTTTAAACTGGTGTTTGCCCGCATGGCATTTCAACACATTTGTGGCGCAGTGGTTAGTGTTCGTAGATCGCATACCGAATACACGGGTTCGAATCCTGGAAATTGCTCTTAAATTTTTTTATGTTTTGATAGAATATTGATGCATTGCATAAATATAAGAATAATGATTTATTTGAGCCACTAATCATTTCATATTTATATCCATATATATGGGCTATAATGGACCTTTTTAGAAACATTCAAGTTGCTAAGAAGTTCGCCTGCGAACTTATTCGGAACTTTGTTGTGGCCATGTTTTCAGCCTTGCCTGAAGTTCCTCAGAAGTGCTTAGGGATGCTTTTTGGAACTTTTTCTGAAGTTCAAGTTGTACGCATCAGAACTTTTTGTAACTTGGAATTTGGTTTGATAGTTGAATACGGAACTTTTGGTTGCTTGGGAAGGAAGTTCTGTCGGAATTTTATTTGAACTTTATGGAACTTGAAAGTTCTGTCAGAACTTTATTTGAACTTTATGGCACTTGAAGGTTATGTCGGAACTTTATGGAACTTGGAAGTGAGTTTTATCGTTAAATGTGGAACTTTTGGTTACTTGGGTTAAGGCTTAAGCAGCTTGGTTGAAAGTGGTCTACAGAATTCTAGGCAGCCTCATTTTTAAGTCGTTATAAGAACATGAAAGTTCCAAGCAGCTTCTGGCGGAAATCAAAATCATTGAATGTAAAACCCAAACAATTATGATAATTAATAATTATCGGCAATCGCCCAAACTAAAACCGGCTCCATCTTGTACTGTGGTCTGTCAAGGTAACCTGTTTGGGTAAGTTGTTCGATGAACAGCTCTTTTTCCGTTCGCATGTAGAGAAAACCGTAGTGAAGTGCTCTGCCTTGGTTAGGTGTATGTATCTGATTGTCCGCCTCTCAAGAGTGAACATATACACTGTCTACAAACAAATAATAGCACCTGCGATCCTCTACGCAGCACCGATGTGGGAATCATGTGCACAGATTCAAAGGAACAAAATCCACCTTAAAATAGAATGCTGAAGATGGCCCTTGGTCGTCTCTTCGATACAAGAATTTCCGATCTCCTCCTAGCGGCGAAGGTTCCTAAATTAGGCTTTAAAATTGGTGACATTAAGACTATGTTTGTGCAGAAATGCACCATATCAGAACATGCTTTGATAAGCAATTTGTGAACACTGAACTCTTTTTTTACGCGATTTGTAAACACGTTTTTTTTAAACGGTTAGTGCCACTGCGTCAACCAGGGTTCTGCATTTTCGAAACAAAGAAAAGAAAATGAACTCACCGCAGAATCGCTTCATTTTGAGCAATATCATTTTCGTGTAAGTCATCGTGTTTCTTTTTATCGAGTCACGATGAACATTCCTCTTTTCAAACATGACTGGACTATCACTTGTTTCGTTTGTCAATTGGCAGTTCATTTCATTTGAAGCTAAGACTTGTTTCAATTGATGAATGACTCGAAAACTGCTTCCTTCGTTTTTTCCACTTTCATTTCAATTCGGGGCTCATTCGACTTGTTACGACCTGACGACGCAGGCATCAAAATATAGTATTCGGATAGTATCCGCACAATATCGGTTGCCGATAGGGATGGCATCCGGATTATGTGTGGTAATAATATTTTTTTTATACATATTGAACGAAAATTAAATTAACGATGCTATTCTGGAGTCCAAGATGGCAGCCATCGGGGTCAGGGAAAGTCTTAAATACTCTACAATATGGGAATTTTCGGAACGGGGTGCCGTAAATCGATATCCGATGCCATTTTGGAATCCAATATGGCGGCCATCAGGTTTCACAAAAAGTGTCAAATACCCTAAGATCTGGATATTTTCGGAACGAGGACGACGCGTAGATGTTGAAAATCGACATTCGTTGCCATTTGTACGACATCGGACATCGATTTCTGGCTTCTAGATGTCAGCCCGATTCCAAAAAACCCACATTGATCGGTATTTGACAGTATTTCACAGTTTTTCTGAACCAAGGCCACCATCTTTGATTTAAAGGCGGCGTGACATCAATTTTCGGCATCTACGTCTCATCCCCATTCTAAAAATAATCATATTTTAGGATATTTGACACTTTTCCGCAAATCGGAAGCCAGCCTACAGGCTGGATTACGAAATGGCGCCGGATATCAATTTCCGGCTTATGGTTCTAGGTATTGAGCTATTCTTCAGTTTGTTCGTCATCGAACACAAAATATCGCTCGGAGATAACATACCCACGTTGATCGATTCGGTGTTTGGCTGGGTGGTATGTGGTACCTTGGCATTACCTAAGGCGATAACTCAGGTCAACTGTAATCTGTCAGTCTCGAATCGACTTGAGGATCTTCTTACTCGTTTCTGGGAATGCGAAGAAGTTGGATAACAAGGCAATTCGTCACCTGATGAAGCATTTTGTGAGGAACAATATCAACGCACAGTTCAGAGAACAGATGATGGTCGATATATAGTCACTCTCCCCAGGAATTAAGTTATGCTGAAGCGTATGGGTGAATCGAGGGATATAGCTCTGCGGCGCTTCTACAGCACGGAACGCAGGTTGGCGAAGGATAACAACTTACGTCAACAGTACGTGGCTTTCATGGAGGAGTATCAACAATTAGAACACATGAAGGATGTTCAGGAAATTACTGGCATCGATATCAAAAGGTGTTACCTACCACACCATCCTGTGGTGAAGGAATCGTCTACGACAACCAAGGTGCGAGTCGTATTCGATGCGTCCTGTAAAACATCGACCGGAATATCATTGAATGATGCCCTCTACGCAGGACCGGTGATTCAGGAGGATTTGCGAGCGATTATCATTCGTGGACGAACTAGACAGATCATGGTTGTTGCTGATGTGGAGAAAATGTTCCGGCAAATTTGGTCTTGCCTTACGGATCTTCGATTCTTAAGTATATTCTGGCGTGCTTCACCCATGGATGAGATCAAAACCTACGAACTATGTACGGTCACCTACGGAACTAAACCGGCACCATTTCTAGCTACTAGAACCTTGAAACAACTAGCAATCGATGAAGGTCACCGATTTCCTTTAGCGGCCGTTGCTGTGGCAGAGGATACATACATGGATGATGTAATAACAGGGGCAGATGACATTGAAAGGGCGTCGAGGCTAAGAGCGGAACTGCAGGGAATGATGGAGGCAGGAGGTTTTCATCTACGGAAATGGGCATCGAATTGTTCGAAGGTTTTGGAAGGAATTCCACAGGAAAACTTAGCCATTCCCAAAACTAAGGAAATTAACTTGGACTTGAATTCCTCGGTGACCACCTTAGGTTTGGTTTGGATTCCCGGAACGGATAAGTTGAAATTTAAGTTCCAAATCCCCAAGCTGGTTCCTACTGAACAACTCACGAAACGAAGGATTCTCTCGATTATCGCTACACTGTTTGACCCAACCGGGCTGATTGGAGCTGTTATCGTTGAAGCCAAAAATTTTATGCAACGCTTGTGGATGATGCAAGGTGAAAACGGTGAAAAACTAGATTGGGATGATCCGGTTCCTTCGAAGGTTAGTGAGGATTGGTGGCGATTCTATCAACAACTACCACGATTGCAGGAGATTGAAGTTGATCGTTGTATAGTAATTCCTTCTGCAGTATCCCTGCAAATTCACTGTTTCTCTGACGCTTCCTTGAAGGCCTACGGAACCTGTTTATACCTACGGAGCGAGGATGCATCAGGACAAACCCTTGTTCGATTGTTAGCGTCACGATCAAAGGTCGCACCTTTGAAAACACAATCCCTTCCAAGGCTTGAATTTTGTGGCGCCCTCCTAGCAACTCAACTCTGCCAAAAGGTGAGAAAGGCGATTCGCATCGACGCTCAGGTCTACTTTTGGACAGACTCTACTTGCGTGTTACGTTGGATCAAGGCTTTACCTGCTACATGGACGATCTTTGTGGCCAACAGGGTGTCCAAAATCCAAGGTTTGTCGGAAGGATGTCATTGAGCCATGTAAGAGGAATCGAAAATCCAGCAGACCTCATATCACGCGGATTGAATCCAGACAACATAATTGACAGCCAAATGTGGTGGAGCGGTCCGAATTGGTTGCAGAACAATCGCGAACAGTGGCCAAGGCAAAGTCCAGAAACTAGCGAAGAAGGAGAAGAGGAGCGTCGCCGTGGCGTAGCAATCAATACTGCCTCATCGTACGAAGAGTTTAATGTTTGGTACATATCTAAATTTGATTCATATTATGATCTGATCCGTTGTACTGCTTATTGGCTGCGCCTAATGGATCTTCTCAAACTACCAAAGGGAAGGAGGAAGAAACCGGAACCTTTAACGACAATCGAAATGCGCAGAGCTGAAGGAGTCCTCATTCGAAGAGTGCAAATTGAATCATTTCCCGATGAATGGAAGGCTGTATCAAACGGATCAGCTGTGTCGTCGAAATCACCTCTTAAATGGTTCTGTCCTTATATATCCAAGGAGGATGGACTTCTGAAAATTGGAGGAAGACTCAACCAATCACAAGCATCGGAAGCTACGAAACATCCATCAATCTTACCAGCTCGCCATATTTTCACTCGAAAACTACTGACATGTTTTCATGGAAGACTATTACACGCTGGTCCCCAACTACTTTTAGCCACAGTTAGACTTTTTTATTGGCCTTTAGGAGGAAGAAGTCTAGCCCGAAAATTGGTTCACAATTGCTTGAAATGCTATCGTTCGAACCCATCGACTATCCAACAATTTATGGGAGAATTGCCATCTTCGAGAGTAACTGCTTCGAGACCTTTTTCTCACACAGGAGTGGATTATTTCGGACCAGTATACGTAAGACTTGGTCCATGTCGAACAGCAGTGAAGGCATACGTTTCCGTATTTATTTGCTTCTGCACCAAAGCTGTACACATGGAGCTAGTGACAGACTTATCAACGCAACGCTTTCTGCAAGCATTGAGACGGTTTATTTCACGTCGTGGTAAACCCAACGATATATTTTCGGATAATGGAACTAATTTTTTTGGGGCAAAAAATCAGTTGACGGACTTGATCAGTTTTCTAAAAAACCGAGAACATCGCAACAAGATCACCAAGGAGTGCAATGAAGAAGGCATCCAATGGCATTTTAGCCCTCCTAGTGGACCCCATTTCGGAGGCCTCTGGGAAGCTGCTGTACGATCAGCGAAAAAGCACTTGCTGAAGGTGATGGGAGATAGCGTTCTGAGCTTCGAAGACATGAACACTCTGATCACTTAGATTGAAGGTTGTCTTAGGAAGATCCTGGGGACTTGGAACCATTAACGCCAGCTCATTTTCTTATTGGTTCATCGCTACAGAGCCTATCAGAATGTGATTTTACTGATATTCCCACGAATCGTTTAAGGCAATGGCATCTTGTTCAACAAAAGGCCCAACAGTTTTGGAAAAGATGGAAGAGGGATTATCTTACTCAACTTCAAGGTAGGATGAAACGTTGGAAACCCGCAGTGAAAATTGAGATAGGAAAACTAGTGGTGATCCAAGATGATAACCAACCGCCACTGCGATGGAAAATGGCCAGAATTCACCAGCTGCACCCTGGACCCGATGACGTTGTTAGAGTAGTCACACTCAAGACCAGTAGCGGTTTCTTGAAACGTCCTGTTGAACGATTATGTCTTCTACCATTACCGAATTGTGATGAAGCGGAGTCAGTACAACCCCACGATCCTTGAAGTCCTTTCCCACTCGCAACTGTTCCGGTCGAAGAGTTTTATTTTATTTTCAGAAATTGCAGCTATTTCAGGGAGGGCGAGTATGTTTCCGACGAAGTAGCCCGAATACGCCTATGATTAAAGCTGTTGGATCTGTGTGCGATGCAGTATATAGGTCGATGACGTCACGAAGCAAGCGTAAAGGGTGATACGGTCAAAATTTGGTCAATATCAACTTGACGTATTTCTTTCAATTTTGCATTTAAAAAACCTGAACACCCCTCATTTTGAAGGTGTGTGTGTGTAGAATGTTGCTCCTATTTTGATTTTGGAATTCACTCTTCAGTTGTCAAAATGCCGTCCAAGCAAGAAGAGCAGCGTATCAAAATTTTGCTCGCGCATCGTGAAAATCCGAGCTACTCGCACGCAAAGTTGGCAAAATCGCTAAAAGTTGCCAAATCAACCGTTACAAATGTAATTAAAGTGTTTGGGGAACGTTTGTCGACAGCCAGGAAGTCTGGATCGGGGGGAAATCGAAAACCGGAAGCCGCTGAGACGACAAAGAGAGTTGCCGGTAGTTTCAAGCGAAACCCTAACCTCTCTCTCCGAGATGCCGCAAATAAGCTGGGTGTATCGTCTACAACCGTGCATCGAGCCAAAAAACGAGCCGGACTATCGACTTACAAGAAGCTAGTGACTCCAAATCGCGATGATAAACAAAATACGACGGCCAAAGCGCGATCCCGGAGGCTGTACACGACGATGCTGACGAAGTTTGACTGCGTGGTAATGGACGACGAAACCTACGTCAAAGCCGACTACAAGCAGCTTCCGGGACAGGAGTTTTATACGGCAAAAGGAAGGGGAAAGGTAGCAGATGTTTTCAAGCACATGAAACTGTCAAAGTTCGCAAAGAAATATCTGGTTTGGCAAGCCATCTGTACCTGTGGCTTGAAAAGCAGCATTTTCATAGCTTCCGGGACTGTCAACCAAGAAATTTACGTGAAAGAGTGTTTGAATAAACGTCTGCTGCCTTTCCTGAAGAAACACGGTTGTTCCGTACTGTTTTGGCCGGATTTGGCATCTTGCCATTACGGTAAAAAGGCCATGGAGTGGTACGCCGCCAACAACGTGCAGGTGGTTCCCAAAGACAAGAACCCTCTCAACACGCCAGAGCTCCGCCCAATTGAGAAATACTGGGCTATTGTCAAGCGGAACCTAAAGAAGACCAAAAAAACTGCTAAGGGCGAGCAGCAGTTCAAGGCAAACTGGCTTTCTGCGGCGAAGAAGGTGGACAAGGTGGCTGTACAAAATCTGATGGCAGGGGTCAAGCGTAAGGCCCGGCAATTCGGATTTGAAAAAGCGGAAGCCTAACTGAATATTTTTCCTGAATTTTATAGTAATTGAACTTGAAAAAGAAATTTAACTTGATTTTTTAAATAAACGATTTCACCGATTTACACGCGTTTTCCCTTGACCAAATTTTGACCGTATCACCCTTTATACTGATCGGGTCTGGATTCGGATTAGGGTTAGGAAATAAGGAATGCATTTTTCAGTTGCTACATCTTGGTTAACATCCACGGTGTCCGGTCGACGGTCTATTTTTGTATATCTATTAAGTAGATTCGAAATATTAGTTTAAGTCCATTGTGTAATAAATGTTAAAAGTAGTATTTTTTTTGCCCTAAAATAAATTGTGTATTGTTTGTACGTCGCGTCGTTATTATATTATAAAGGAAGAATTGTGGAACTTGGCAGTGTCGGGATTGTGTGTCACAGTCTACAGTCCACTTGGATTCATCCTACACCTTCAACCCGCTTTAGGAACGAGCGGTTGGGATTGCTGCAACTGGAAATCGACTGGTAGGAACCCTAATAAACAGGTACCATATACTGACGATATCTTAGATGATGTGACCATACCACATAAAATTAGGATGATATCTCGAATTAGCGGTTAGGCGCATCTTATGGTTATTGTTTATGCGGGAAGGAATTGATTACACTCCGACAGACACCATTCTGAAATACAGACGAAAAGCGAGAAAAGATTTAAAGCGTCACGCTTCTTCTTCTTCTTCATCGCATTTCAAGCTTATTGCGTATGGCATATTAGCTTATTGCGTGCTATTAACTTAGTATTCTAGATGCACTTCCACAGTTATTAATCGAGAGCTTTCGATGCCTGTACCATTTTTACATTAGTATAATTGTGTGGCAAGTACAATCATACTCTATGCTCAGGGAAGTCGAGAAATTTTCCAACCCGAAAAATTCCTAGACCGAACCGGGAATCGAACCCAGCCACCTCCAGCATGGTCTTGCTTTGTAGCTGTGCCTTTACCGACTGAGCTAAGGGAGGTCCCGCGTAGTTTTCAAATATTCAAAAAAGAGACCGTGTTCTTTTGCAAAATCTCGTCTCAGCCGGAAAAATTTACCCCAACTTTGGGAAGAAAGGAATGGAAACCGAGTGAATAAAAATAGAAAGAAACACCGTTCATCTCAAGGAAATCTCTAGCTCTTGTACTATTTCTTCTGAAGAAATACTATCGAACTCTGAAGACAATGTCATAAATCCTAATCAACATGCGGAACCATTACAGGCAGCTTGTCCTTCTTGCTTTGGTGCGTAGACCATCATGGAATTCCCAGCCCCAATTCGGTTCAATTAGTTTAAAAGTATGGCTTCGCCTTTATTTCAGGACCCCCCCCCCTGCATCACATGCAAAGCTTCTGCTACTTTAATGCAGCCATCTCTGCTGCCCCCTCGGTTGAAAATATTCGAACATCCGCAAAAGTAGTCAAATCATAAAACTAGGTTCATTACTTTTAAGAAGCTTCTGTTACCGGCATTATA